AGGTTGGGTCACGGCACGCACTGCCAATTGGGGGAAAAAAATACATTTGCAAACAAATGTTTTGGTTCTTCCTATTAAAATTTTTTAATTGTGACTTTAATAATTGCATTCCTTCCCCCTGACCTTCCGCTTATTACGCAAGGAGGCGCCAGTGCCAAGACTCTACTATGATGAAGTGCCAAGACTCCGCAGCAACCAATCACACTTAATTAAATGTGTCATCCCTCCTGGTTGGCCTAGCCCATACCACACGCCCTCAACCCCCCCCCCCGCCAATCCCTCCACTGATCCCACCATCCCTGTGCTGAGTTCCCGGGTCTGTACACCCGCTGTGCCCAATAGAGATCTCTCCACTGGCCCTTGCCTGTAATGAAGCTGGAATTCTTGCCTGCTTGTGTCTGTCTAATAGGTGAATGTTTAGGAAGGACAGGGCCCAGCCATTGTGTATCCTTGACATGGAATCGCTCCCCGGACCAGGTTTTGAGCTGCATGTGGTCTCCTCTCCCTTACCTGTTAAACTGGATGAACACCAGATTCCAGATTTCCAGCACATTGGGGTCATCCATGTTCACCAAGTGGGCCGCGTCCCGGCCACCGATGCGGTCAAAGTGCATCTCACTGCAGGGCCCACAGGGGCCGGTATCCCCCATCTCCCAGAAGTTGTCCTTCATGCTGCCCGGTAATATTCGCTCCTCTGGCAGGCTGGAGGGAGACATCATGCGTTAGCAGAGCCCGGACTATGGTCACGGTCAGCACACAGGAAACGTGAGATGTGCGCCTTACCCCAGGCTCAGCCAGATTTGTTTACACTCCAGATCGGGTTCCAGGCCGGCAGCCTCGTTGCCCCCAAAATAGGTGACGTATAGGCGATCGATGTCAATGCCGAACTCCTTGGTGAGAAGGTCCAGCGCCATCTTACACGCCAGCTCCTGCAGGAGGGGGGAGGGGCAGCGCAAGTGTTTAATACAACAGGACAGACCTGGTCTCATCCACCGCAGTCACAGGCCGGCCTCACCTTGAAGTAGTCGCCGAAGGACCAGGAGCCCAGCATCTCGAAGAAGGTGTGATGGTAGACGTCCTTCCCCACGTCGTCCAGGTCGTTGTGCTTCCCCCCGGCCCGGATACACTTCTGCGTGTTGGCGGCCCGGTTCAGCTTGGCCATGGGGTGAGACGGGTCGATGGTGTTCAGGAAGATCGGCTTGAACTATAGGAGAGGAGACGTTACAAAGACGAACGCCACCCGACACGCGTGACGTCAGGAGACGCCCGTACATAATAAACTGACCGGTTACTATGGTGACATGTCAGTGACCCCCCAAGAAAAAAAACTTTTACCTCCATTTCCCATAATCCTCTCCATCGCTTCCTGAGAACACCGATCGCTTCACCTAAAACTGCAGCATGGGGAGCACGCCGCGCCAACTCTGATGTGCGACCGCCCCAATACATGAATGTGGGGGGGGGGGGGGTTAAAAGGAAAAAAAAAATAATGGAATGGGGGGGGGGGGGGGGTTTAAATGTGCTGTATAAAGATCCGCTGCGGTGTCACAGGGCAAAGCCCCCCAGATCTGACCCCAGTCCCACAATGCATCTCTCCAGTAACGGCGTGCACATGCTCAGTGACAACCAGTGACGCAATCTGTACTATACTAGGGAGGGGGGACGTCTGGTCACAAGATGACACGTCACTTCTCTGTGATTTACAGAAAATGAAAGGAAATGTCAGCGACGGAAAGAAAAGATAAATACAAAGAAAATAAAATGTTATAGTTGAGGAGCCCGAGCCAATCATCCGACGCACTCAGAGCGGCATGCAGGGATGATGGGGGTCCCTGTGATTTTATACTCTATGGCCCTTTCACATAGGGACGCATGCCGCATTCCTGCAGCAAGAACCTACAGATCATAGGCAGGAATGCCGGTTAAGATGCGGCCACTGTGCGCATTGAAGTTAATGACAGGGTGACAGCGGACGCATCTCTCAGCAGCTGCCCCCAATGTAATCGTACATGGAACCATTAGGATGGGCGATTGCACGCAGGATAGATGCGCACCGCGTACGATTACATGCGGCACGCCACTGACAGACGCTGCTCATCTCCTCTGCAAATAATGACATACAATGAGAAGGGGGGATGGGGGGGAATGGGGCGATGATGTCACAAGTGCAGTAACCTATAGCAAGCCAATATCACTGCAGACAGACCAGTGATGAATGTCTGGAGGATCTGCAACGGGTCTGCAGACGCAGCGAAGGATTGAAGCTGCTCGGTGTCAGCACATGGACGGAGCGCCGGGAAATGCCGAGTAGGGAGGTGGTGGTGCAGAGTCGTGGTGGCCGCAGATAGAACACACTGCTCCCACAGGACTGGGCGGGGCTTCATCTATAAGCACAGCCAATCATAAACCGGTGTTTTTGAATGAGATAAGAAATACAGCGTGCATGCCTGGTTATCTCAATGTCCTGCTGAGGGGACACACGCGTGACAACCGTCTGCCACGAGCGACCAATCAGCAGCCCCCCGGCATCGCTCATTGCTACTATGCAAATGCCGTGCATCAGAAAGTCGCCATACAGGAGGAACGTTTAGGGCGGGGCCATGTGCTGGCCCCACCTACTCCGGGCGCTAGTTTATTAATGTCGCCTCTGGTCACACATGTGACAATCTCCTCCTCTCCTGGATGTATATCAGGGTCGGCCTAAACGGTCCATTACCTTCCAATCAGACCGGACCTCAACGTACACAGGATTTGGAGATTGCACCGTCATGTGACACGTCACGGTCAAATCCGATTGGACGAGCACTTATGAAGGTAAACGTTCTCCCCGTCAGACCAACGCCAACCTAAATCTGCACCGGACGGGTCAGATAAGTGACCCTCCAATCCGATCGCAGACACGATCAAATCTTCTGGAAGCAGAGAAGCGTGGAGTGATGCTCGAAGTGGGCGATGGCGCCTCCATAGATGGGAGCGTAGTATGTGATACGGCAGCTCTTTGCTTTCAGACTCAGAAATGATTATGTGGCTGCCAAACCAATGAGGACCCGGCACAGATCCCGACTCCCTGAATGGGGTCTCCCCTGCAATGTGCACACCACCAGAGATTGCGATCATAGTGCCGCCCCCCCCCTCATCAAATCTGATCTGCGGAGTCTTACTTTAACCCCGGGGACCTGACCTGGTTCATGCCGGCATTAGCAAAGAGCAGCGTGGGGTCATCGAGGGGGACCACGGCCGAGGAGTGCACATACGTGTGCGCGTTCTGCTTGAAGAAGTCGATGAACTTCTGCCGGATGGCGGAGGCGCTCAGTGGTGTCGTCATGGTGACCTGTGCTGGAGGAAAACGTATGTGAGGACTTACCGCCAGATACCCCCACCAAAGTTGTCTCCTCACTGTGCAGTGCAGACACTGACACATCAGGCTCCGCCCCTTCCACTCATTGGACGCCACTTGCCGGTTCCCGCTTCTAATTGGCTGAGGCGGCTGTCACTCCCCGGGAACGAGGCTGAGGCTGATGCAACTAAAAGCAAGGCGGGGCACGTGATCGGCGGAGGTTGAAAGGGGCGGGGCGTGAGTTGACGCTGAGGGGATGTGTGAGAGAGGCGGGAAAACTGTCCGCATAGCTCCGCCTCGTCCTGGCAACACCACAACTCCCAACATAGCCTTACAGGGGAACCACAGCTCCCAGCATGACCTTCCCCCTCCACAGGGGAACCACAGCTCCCAGCATGACCTTTCTTCTCCACAGGGTAACCACAGCTTCCAGGATGGCCTTCCCCCTCCACAGGGGAAACCACAGCTCCCAGCATCCCCCCCACCCAAAGAGAACCACAACTCCCAGCATGTCCTTCCCCATCCAAAGGGGAACCACAACTCCCAGCACAACCTTTCTTCTCCACAGGGTAACCACAGCTTCCAAGATGGCCTTCCACCTCCACAGGGGAAACAACAACTCTCAGCATGGCCCTCCCCCTCCACAGGGGAAACAAAAACTCCCATCATGGCCCTCCCCCTCCACAATGGAAACAAAAACTCCCAGCATGGCCTTCCCCCTCCACAGGGGAACCACAACTCCCAGCATGGCCTTCCCCCTCCACAGGGGAACCACAACTCCCAGCATGGCCTTCCCCCTCCACAGGGGAACCACAACTCCCAGCATGGCCTTCCCCCTCCACAGGGGAACCACAACTCCCAGCATGGCCTTCCCCCTCCACAGGGGAACCACAACTCCCAGCATGGCCTTCCCCCTCCACAGGGGAACCACAACTCCCAGCATGGTCTTCCCACGCCACAGGGGAACCACAACTCCCAGCATGGTCTTCCCCCTCCACAGGGGAACCACAACTCCCAGCATGGTCTTCCCCCTCCACAGAAGAACCACAAGTCCCAGTGAGTTATTTTTATAGGACTTTGTACCCAGTCCTGTGTATTTCCTTGTACATCGGGACCAATAGTTAGATGAGGTGCGATGGTCTGCAGTCCATATCTGATGAGGTCTGAGGTCCGTATCTGATGAGGTGTGATAGTCTGCAGTCTATATCTGATGAGGTCTGAGGTCCATATCTGATGAGGTGAGATGGTCTGCAGTCTATATCTGATGAGGTGCGATGGTCTGCGGTCCATATCTGATGAGGTGAGATAGTCTGCAGTCTATATCTGATGAGGTGTGATAGTCTGCAGTCTATATCTGATGAGGTGTGATGGTCTGCAGTCCATATCTGATGAGGTGTGATGGTCTGCGGTCTATATCTGATGAGGTGCGATGGGCTGCAGTCTATATCTGATGAGGTGCGATGCTCTGCATGTATATCTGATGAGGTGTGATGCTCTGCATGTATATCTGATGAGGTGTGATGCTCTGCATGTATATATGAAGAGGTGTGATGCTCTGCATGTATATATATATGAACGGGTGTGATGCTCTGCATGTATATATGATGAGGTGTGTATGATGAGGTGTGATGCTCTGCATGTATATGTGATAAGGTGTAATGCTCTGCATGTATATGTGATGAGGTGTAATGCTCTGCATGTATATATGAAGAGGTGTGATGCTCTGCATGTATATATGAAGAGGTGTGATGCTCTGCATGTATATATGAAGAGGTGTGATGCTCTGCATGTATATATGAAGAGGTGTGATGCTCTGCATAATGAGGTGCGATGGGCTGCAGTCTATATCTGATGAGGTGCGATGCTCTGCATGTATATCTGATGAGGTGTGATGCTCTGCATGTATATCTGATGAGGTGTGATGCTCTGCATGTATATATGAAGAGGTGTGATGCTCTGCATGTATATATATATGAACGGGTGTGATGCTCTGCATGTATATATGATGAGGTGTGTATGATGAGGTGTGATGCTCTGCATGTATATGTGATAAGGTGTAATGCTCTGCATGTATATGTGATGAGGTGTAATGCTCTGCATGTATATATGAAGAGGTGTGATGCTCTGCATGTATATATGAAGAGGTGTGATGCTCTGCATGTATATATGAAGAGGTGTGATGCTCTGCATGTATATATGAAGAGGTGTGATGCTCTGCATGTATATATGAAGAGGTGTGATGCTCTGCATATATATATGAAGGGGTGTGATGCTCTGCATATATATGTGATAAGGTGTAATGCTCTGCATGTATATGTGATGAGGTGTAATGCTCTGCATGTATATATGAAGAGGTGTGATGCTCTGCATGTATATATGAAGAGGTGTGATGCTCTGCATGTATATATGAAGAGGTGTGATGCTCTGCATGTATGTATGATGAGGTGTGATGCTCTGCATGTATATATGAAGGGGTGTGATGCTCTGCATGTATATATGAAGAGGTGTGATGCTCTGCATGTATGTATGAAGAGGTGTGATGCTCTGCATGTATATATGAAGAGGTGTGATGCTCTGCATGTATATATGAAGAGGTGTGATGCTCTGCATGTATATATGAAGAGGTGTGATGCTCTGCATATATATATGAAGGGGTGTGATGCTCTGCATATATATGTGATAAGGTGTAATGCTCTGCATGTATATGTGATGAGGTGTAATGCTCTGCATGTATATATGAAGAGGTGTGATGCTCTGCATGTATATATGAAGAGGTGTGATGCTCTGCATGTATATATGATGAGGTGTGATGCTCTGCAGACATATGTATGTCTGTAATTCTGTGCAGGTATCTATGATGTGATGCTCTGCACATCGCCCTGGTGCGATGCTCTGCAGGAATGACTCAGACCCTGACAAACAAGACCTGTTGCTGTGTGTG